ACTGATTTTGGATCACTTGTTGTTCCCTTGTCCCTTCTCCCATGTCCCCCCAGAATCATTGGTCCCATTGTTTTCTCCTCCAGATTGCTTATCCAGCCTATCTTATCTAGCTAGACCTGCAGGGATAATGATATGCACACACACACAAAACAAGACAGAGCAAAACAAAGTGACAAAAGAAAACAAAACAATGACAACAACAACAACAAAAGAATGACCAAAAAAAGAAAAGCCTGTAAATATTTCAAGGTCTGTTTGTTGACCTTTAGGAGTGTTTTCCGGGTGGGTCTGATGGGGTGCCCTGGCCCCAAAGTCTGTTTTTGTATTCCCTGGGGAGGTCATTGCTCTGTTCCGTTGCACGCTCTTAGTGTTTTGCCTCGGTGTGGTGGGGTCAGATCGGGTGGAATGTCCAGACTGTATCTCCAGTGTTGTCCCCTGTAGGGTTATGGGTCAGTGAGGGACGCCGTGTCTCACAGAAGGGCTGGTCATATGGTCCTCTCTGTGCACTGGCTGCTCTGAGCGGGGATATCGTGTTCAAGTGGGCCAGGATGTGCTCCACACTCTCTTCCTCCCCCTTCATTTGCTCCTGTGTGCTCTGATCAGACATGTCCCTCTCCCTGAGCTGGAGCTCTGTCTCTGTAGTGCTGTCCTCTGAAGTAAATTCTTCTGGGGGGAGGGGAGGGGTGGCTGTCCACATAGTTGGGATTGGGGCCGGCCTCTCAGACCCCACTATGGGTTCCCTGCTTCATGCCCGTATGTTGCATTCACATCTTGAAGCCAGGGTATTTTCAACCACCAGGGGATGCATGTGAAAGTTGGACACTGACTAAGAAAGCTGAAAGAAGGATCAATACATTGGATTATGGTGCTGGTGAATGATGCTGAAAGTACCCCAGACTGCTAAAAGACTAAGTAAATCTGTCTTGGAAAAATTACAGCCAGAATATTCCTTAGAGGTGAGGGTGGAGAGGACAGGACAGGAGAGACGAAGCCCCAGAGAAGGAAATCATGCTTGGTAAAGCAGAGGGGCAGAGAAAAAGAGGAAGGCCCTCAGCCAGATAAACTGACACAGTGGCTGCAACGAGGACCTCAAACATAAGAACAATTGTGTGGGCGTTGCCGAGCCGGGGGTGTCTTACTCTGTTGTGCACGTTGTCGCTGTGAGTTAGAACCAACTTGATGGCACCTCACAACAACACCACCACCACCACCATGCTTCTCTGAGTAGGTGCCTGGGCTAATTTAAGGGGTCTGGTCTGTGTTGCTGTGGGGCTGGGTACAACGTGAACCATCTGAGCAGCACAGGACCATCCAGAAAGAAGAGCTTCGAGAAGGAGGTGTCTGAAATTCCCTCTGGGAGACAAGGTGGTGGCAGCAGCAGAGACTAGGAGACAGGTTCCTTTCCAGCCTCCGTACAGCTGCGTGCCTTGGAGTCCGGAGGCTGGCTTGCAGAGTGGGGTGCCCTCTGGGCATTAATCAGTGCTGAAGGAGCTTTGTAACACTTACTCAGACAGGGCCGAAGCCAAAGGTCTGTGTGGCTGGGGGGTCAAGAGAAGAGCAGCATGGCGGAGAAGGAGCACTGGAGCAAAGAACTGTATCCTTAATGTTTCTGATCCTAGTGTGGGAAAACTCGTCAACTCCCCTAAGAAACCCACATAGTCGTGAGTGATCTCAGTGAGTTTTGTGCGGCAGGGGCAGTTGGTGTCAGAAGGTTGCAGGATGGAGGTGTGTTTGACCTCTGTTTCATGGAGGTCATCCTTGGGCAGATGTGGAGTTGAATTCTCCTTCCTGCTGGGAGGTCAGATGGAAGCCCCACTCCATGCCAGCAACCCCCTGAAGTGGCCAGCACAGCTTGGGCACTAGCTTGCTAACCAGAGGTTGGTGGTTCTAGCCCATCGGAGGGTTACTTGGAAGTGTTTCAGGGACCAAAAGAAACCTCAATCTCAAACATAATTTAAGGGGAACATTGGTTGAGTCTTAAAAGGGGATTCAGTCAGGACACGGGTTAAGCCCGGCATGGAGAGAAAGGAACTGTGAGCAATGACGTGGGACTACAGGAGCAGGAGCAGGGCCATGATTAGGACCCTTACGTTATGTCAGCGGAAAGGCTCCCAAGATTGGTCCAGGGCCTTCCCAGGAAGGCAGTTAGGGTTTGACTGATAGGGCATGACTCATGCCTACGGAACCCCTGCTACTATCCATCAAGGACACTCCCCTGTGCGGCTTTAAGAGCTGGTCCCTCCTTGGGCTGGCTGGAGACCAGGGAAGTAATCTCCTTTCCAATGCACTTTGCCGGAGGGCAAGATTATCTACTTCCTCAGCCAGTCAATAAACCCTAACCAAACTCATTGCCATCAAGTCCACCCAGGCTGATAGAGACCCTTTAGCACAGGTAGACCTGCCCCTGTGAGTTTCCGAGACTGTAACTCTTTATGGGAGTAGAAAGCCCCATCTTTCTCCCCTGGAGCTGCTAGTGGTTTCAAACTGCTGACCTTTCAGGTACCAGCCAAATGTGTAACCAATACACCACGAGGGCTCCCTTACTTGATTGATGGTCAAAAGGAATTCACTGGAGGCTCTGCTAATGGATGTTGGACTGCCACTGCCACCTACCGCTTTCTGCAAATTTAAGCTCACCTGGAGCTTACAGGTTGGTGGCTTTGAACCCCTAACCTTGAAGTTAGCAGTCCAAGGTGGGGCCACGATGCCACCGAGCTACCCTCATCTGATTCACAATCAAAAAATGTTTTTAAAAGGAACATAAAAACATCGCCTGGAATCCTCCGCCTCTCTGCTTCCTTGTTCTCAGTTGGCTTTATCTTCAGGAGACTTCCTCCTCCAGGGGACAGAGGTGGTACAGCAGCCCCAGGCCCCCTCGGCATTAGTGTCAACGCCCATCAGCTGCAGCAAGAGTCCCAGGTAAGGTCCTGATTGTCCAAGCCAAGTCACGTGTTTCCCCCCTGACCAGCGGGCCCAGGGCCCAGGCACGGAGCTGGGGACTGCAGTGGTCCTGTGCTGTGAACGCACACATCATTATGCAGTTGCTCATGTCCCTGGGGTTGGGCTGCACAATGGCTGGATGCTCTAGGCAGCTGGGACCTATGGGCCAGAACCTTCTCCCAGGACAGCAGAGACCGGGCAGTTCCAGGACTGGAATCTGCCTTCCCCTTCCAGAAAGTTCCCCCATCTCTGCCCACTTCGCAGACAGGCCCTCCGAGGCCCAGGAGCACACGTACTCAGAGCCAGGGCAGGATGGAGGACACTGGGACAGTCTGCCAGCCGTGGGCGGCACTTGGGTTGTTTCCACTTTGGGAGTTATGATGAATCAGGCAATGAGAAATGTGTGTGTGTGTTTAACTGATTTTTACCATTAAGTCCTCACTCTGTCCTAAAACTCCATTCCAAATGCTTCATGCATATGAGTACTTCCCAAACTCTCCCCAGAAACCCCCAAGTCCATGATGATTCCCATTTTGTGGACAGGAAGGAGGAGAGGGCCCCCCCCCCCCCCACGATGTCACTCAGGCAGGATTTGAACACAGAAGGTTTGTACACCTGTGTCCCATAACCCTTTCTCTGCTGGGGCTCCTGTCAGCCCTCGGGGGTGGGGGGAGGGGAACAGCGTGCTGTTGAAACCCTTCCCAGATAAGATCAAACCCCACAAATGCTCACCTGTCATCCAGAGCCCCCCCACCTGCCCCCGTGGTCCTCACAAGGGTGGCCAGTACAGGTCAGGAGGGACGGGTGCTTCCCCAGCCCCTTGGGAGCATCAGGAAAGGCCACGAGGAGGGTGCTGGGTTCCAGGAAACTCCCAGACGTCCTTGGGATGGGGCAGCTGAGTCAGCCAGGCAGGGCCTATCCCCCCTGAATTTCCGTCCTGGGCTGGGCGAAGGTGAAGGTTCAGAAAATTCCTGCACACGTTGACATCAGCACCTGGGGCTGCCACCTCTGCCCAGGAGGAGGCGGGCCACAATGAGGGCTTCCCCTGCCCGGCCAGGCCCCAGGCCCAGCCCAGCTCCCCTGCCAGCCAGGCCTCACCCTCCATCTGCCCCAGCTCCAGGGCCACTTCTGCCCCTGCCCCTCCCCACGGCTCCCTGGAGGTAAAGCCGATTGGGTGGGGCGGTCAAGGCTCTCTGTGTAGCTCTGGGTCGTGGGGGCTGGTGTACAATCAGAAAGGGCCCTGCTGCCTCCTCCTCCCCCAGCTTGCCCCAGCTCACACAACCGGGAGTTTCAGCTCTGGCCTTGGGCACCAGCTCAGTCTCCTGGGTGTCCCTGGGGCAATCCTTCGGTAGCCAGCTCCCACCCTGGATTCAAGGGCAGGCCCGGTGATAGCTGGCCCCAGCCTGTCCCAAGCACTCCCCCACTCCATATCCTTCTAGGCCTCCTTGTTGTTAGGACTCAAAGTGACCGGATGTACAACAGAACCAAACACTGCCCGGTCCTGCGCCGTCCTCACAAGCGGCAGCCACTGTCCATCCATCTCTTCCAGGGCCTTCCTCTTCTTCGCTGCCCCTCCACTGTATCCAGTGTGGAGCCCTTCTCCGGGACTGGTCTCTCCTGACCACACGTCCAAGGTTCATTAGGGCAGGCTCGCCATCTTTGCCTCTACGGAGCACTCTGGCAGTCCTTCCAGGACAGGTGTTTGTCCTTTTCTCATCCACAGTACTGTCAGCTCCCTACTGCCCCATAATGACCCTCTGTCCAAGGGCACTTCCTTCTGGGAAGGGGGAGGGGCTTTGTCCTGGAGCTGCCTGCCTGCCTCTCAAGGTAAACTGATCCAGGGCGGGACCCACTTCAGCTCCCCGACTTCAGGGCCTGGGTGGGCTGCCAGGGCAGTGGCCAGCAGGGTGGAGGCCCTGGCTAACGCCTCAGCCCCGGGGCCCTGTCTGTGCAAAGGTGGAAGGGCTTGTTCCCAGCAGGATCTCAAACCTGTCCAACGGGTTTGCTGCCTGGGCCCTGAAGGGGCGGTGCAGGCCTGCGTGGGCCCTGCCTGCAGGGGAGGAACCGTGATCAGCAGGGCGCTGGGCAGCGATGGCCAACAGACAGCCCGCAGCCCCTGGCAGGTGGGTCCCGCCACCGGGAGGGCGTGGCAGACATAGGGCCAGCTTGGGAGGGAGGCAGAGACGCCGGGCGGGGCCAGAGACTGAGAGACAGGGGCGGAGTTTATGGGGCCAGGGCCAACCCTGACTTAGTCCTGGCTCATGGTGGGGGGAGAGGGCCTCAGTGTCCCATTCTGCACCCGCAAAGGGGAGGAGGGGCTTACAGGACCGGAGGAGGGCGGGGTGCTGACCACAGAGGGGTCCCAGGGGAAGTGGGTGCAGAAAGGAGAAGTGGCCAGAGACCCGGCGGGAGGAGGGACTCCCTGCTGCGCTCGGGTCCGGGAACGCTGGGACTTTCCAGGACGTGGGGAAACAGGAAGTAGCCGTCCTGGTCCCCAGCGGACTGCCCACCGCGCTTTTGCGCCTCACCTGCTCTGAGGATCACTGGGCCAGACCGCCCCGCCAGCGCAGCCTCCACTCTGGGACCTCTGAGCGCATCTCCGCCCAGGCAGGGGCCAGTGACGGCTCCTGGGTGCACTCCTGCGGGGAAACCGAGGCTGAGGTCCAGGGACACATCACCCAGGGGTAACCGAGGTTGGGGCTCCAGGGACACACCGCCAGGGGGAAACTGGGGCTGGGGGTTCTAGGGACACACCATCCAGGAAGGAAACCTACGACCCCTCCTGACTGGCAGAGAACCTCAGAACCCCACTGACCTGACCCTCATTTTTGCTGGAAGTTCTCCTGCTGCTTAAACAGCTAAGACAGCGGTTTTCAACCCGTGGGTCGCGACCCCTTTGAGGGACAAACAACCCTTTCACAGGGATCGCCCGATTCATCACAGGAGCAAAATGACAATGATGAAGTAGCAATGAAAATGATTTTACGGTTGGGGGTCACCACAACATGAGGAACTGTATGAAAGGGTCGCCGCGTGAGGAAGGTTGAGAACCATTAAGCTAAGAGGACAGGACAGCTGTGACATCCAACCACACGAGCTACTGCCATTGAGATCCGAAGGACAGGGCGGAGCTGCTCCTTAGAATTCCTGAGACTGAACTCTTCGCGGCCTTTCGGCTAAGATCAAGTGTGGTATCTGTTCTTATCAGTTTAATATCTGATACATCCTCTATCCGAGGACATTAAATGGATTTTTAGAACAGGGAGATGGAATAGGAGCTTGCTCTGTTCACTCCACCAATCGACCTGGTATTGCAGTACTTCCAGGAACGGTGCACCCCCTTTAAGGGATAAGAAAAAAAAAAGAGAGAAAAAAAATTCCCAAGACTGAATCTCACAAGAGCAGACAGCCTCATTTTTCTCCCTGGGAGCGGCTGGTGAGTTTGAACCACCCATCTGTCAGTTTCCAGCCCCATGCTTAACCTGTCCATCTTTACAGGGCCCTGGCTCCAGCACCTCCAGCTTCAGGCTGCCGTGATCACGCCCAAGTAGCAGGTGAGCAGATTGAGGCTTGCAGGGCAACCTGACCACCCAGCCCCCAGGGCTAGCCCACCTCTGGGACCCATTTTCTCTCTGGTTGACTCATGCAGCCAGATCCCACATATGAAAGTACAGGAGGCCTGGATGCTTGGCCAAATTTGAATTTCAGACATCATGAATGCTTCTTCAGTATGAGTATGTCCCAACCATGGCCTGGGCCATAACCCAGGCAAAACCCCTATTGACACCGAGTTGATTCCGACTTCCACCGCCCCTACTTAGGGTTTCTGAGGCTGGAGCCTTGACAAGGAGCAGAAGACCTAGAAGCCAACTGCTGGATTAGAACCACTGACCTTGCAGCTGACTAGACTAGCAGTCTAACGCTTACCTGATAGCAGCAACCCAGGGACATCCTAGTATATTAAAAAGTATTCGTCTTGCAGCAGAAATGAAAACTTAACCTGGTGTCCTGTGTTTTACCTGGCAATCCCAGTCTCACGGGCTAACCAAAGGGCCCCGGTCCCCACTGAGGGCAGTGAGAACCCTGCCCCCAGGAGCCCGAGGGTACCTACAGGGGCAAGGCAGCTGGAGGAGGGGCTGTGGGTACATCAGGCCAAAGGGGTAGCCTTTGGGTCACCACCACAGCTAGCATCTACATGCTGTGGCCCAATCTCTCCAGCTTCCAGGCTCCACTCGATGGAAGGGGATCTTGGTTTCCTGGGCACTGCAAGGAGTGGGGAGCCTGGTGGCGTGGTGTGTTCTGAGCTGGTGTTGGGCTCTAGTCTCAGGTCAGCAGGTCCAGTCTGCCAATGGGCTCCTGGCATAGCCAAGTCTCTGCCCCTGTGGGACCCTGTGGGCGAGTCTGCTCTTCTTTAAGCCAGAATTGGCAGTGGTGCCTTTGGTTTGGTGTGACACTTGTGGGGCACTGGGTCTCTGGCCACGGGGATGTGCCTGGTGGCCACATAATGGCCCAGGAGCCCTGGTGGTTCAGCAGCCAAGTGCTTGGCTGCCTATAGAGGGATGGGCGGGCAGTGTGAACCTGCCCCCCCACCCCCCCAGCTCTGTGGTAAGAACCCCTGGAGATCTGGTCCTGTGAAGGTCACAACTTAGGAACCTTCTCTCTACCACCTGGGGCCACCTTGTGTCAGAACTGGCTTCCCAGAACCCAACGGCCACACACACTGGCCGCTGTCTGTTTTGTCCCAGAACAGGAGGGAACTCGGGTCCATCAGCATCTCCAAAGAGCGAGTGGTGAGGCGCTGGCCCTCTGGGGGGCACGCAGCTTGGCTCAGCAGCGGCAAGGCTGCCCCCACCCCGGGCTCCAGGCTCCCGAGCCAGGTCCCCATGGCTGTCCCATACTGTGCTTTCCTGGAAATCCCCCAAAATGACTAATTCCCTTGAAATCCCCAAACTTGGCAGATTCTCTTGTGTTGAGGCGGCTGGCCCCACCCCAGCTGCTGGCCAGCAGGCACCCCTCTATGCAGGCAGAACTACCAAGTGGCTTTGCTGTATGGGGTGGCATGGGCACTTGGCTTCTACAGTGCAGGCCCAGGCACCAGGGACCACATGCTCAGCAGTCACCTGCCCCTCCCCTTTCCCCCTCTCGGACACCCACCTCTTTGAAGTTCCTGGTAATTTCTCTCCGGGTCCCTCAAGTGGCGTGACCCATCTTGTGTGGGAGGGGACAGGCAAAGGCATGGGACGCCGTCCGTGACGGAACCTTAAGTATCTATTGCTCAATTGGATACATTTTCATTAGCCAGGGAAGGCAGCCCGAGTTAAGAGCACAGCCCACACTGCCAAGACTGAAGCCTGCCAAAGGGAAGCTGATTCCTTCCGGACGACCCTTGACCCTCATCCTTGCAGGGCCTGGCTGTGTCCTCCCTCCTTCGCTCCCTGTGCCTGAGGGCTCGGGCCTGAAATTGGATAGGGTTGAAATGTGCCAGGCCCCTCCCTGGTTCCCCCAAATCAGGCTTTTGAACAGCTTTAACGCTGAGGGGCTATGCTTCCCACACACATTTCTGGCGGGTTAACTCCTACTTAAACTTCAAAGCCCGGCTGTGATGTCCACTCCACCAGGTACCTCTCCATGGTGCTCTAGACAGAGCCTAGACTCCTCCCTGGGCGGCAGGCCTGATTTTCCAGGTGGGCCTGGGTTTGGCATGGATCAGGGGCCATAGCCATCAGTAAAGACTGTGAGGGTGGGGCGCCTCCCACACTGGAACCACCCCCACCACCACCACACACACACACACAGTGGATCCAGTCAGAGGGCAGCTGCCCCAGGGCTCAGCCACCTGTGCCAGGCCAGGCCTTGTTCCACCCTTTTCCCGGCAGCTTGGCGCTCCTGGAAGCCCTTCTAGGCGGGGCCAGCAGAGGAGCCAGCCCTGCCCGAGAACCTACCAGCCAGGATCTTGCCCTCTTCCATGTGGCCCCTGGGACTTCTGGCCACCCATGGGAGCTCTTATTCAGGTGGAGAGCCAGACAACAGAGAAAGACAGGACAAAGTCGAGGTGGGGTGGACACGGCTTCGGGGAGTCGGCCAGCTGTTGTAGTGCTGTCCTGTCCAGTTCGTTCCCACCCATGAACAGACTGGACCTCCATGGGCCTCCCAACTATGGATGTCTGAGCTCACTGTTTGGCCGCCGGGCCAATCTCCCTCGTCAGGGGCCTTCCTGTGTTTCGCTGCAAAGGGGGCGTTAGGGGAGGGCGCCCCAGAGAACACAGCCTGACGGGAGGGAAACTGAGGCTCAGAGGGAGTAGGCCGTGGGCCGGGCAGCGTCGGAGTTCAAGCCCAGGCTCCTCTGAGTCCCCAGCCCCATTTGGGAGGGACACGGAAGACCTGGGGGTCCACGGTGGTCCTTGGGATGGCCCCGCCCCTCGCGACCCCGCCCACTCGGAGGTCCCGCCCACACCCCACCGAGACCCCGCCCCGCGGCATGACCGGAAGTGCACGAAGTCCCCAAGATGGCGCCCGAAACCCGGAAGTGAGCGGCGGCCCCTGAGGAGCGCTGAGAAACTGAGGTGCCGCGGACTCGGCGCCCGGCCGGACCGGGTCTGAGGTGAGGCGCGTCCGGCGGCGACCCCCACCTCAGTCCCGAGACCCTGGCCTCGGCCTGCCGACCTGCTGCTGGCCGCCCGCGCGCGGGCCGGGGCGCCGGGGCGCGGGGGGCGCCGGGGGAGCGTGACCCCGGC